ATAGTAGTTTTAAAGAATTGCCGTGGAATCCAGTCTATCCAACTTGAGGGGAAGGCTAATAATACTTCACTTCAAAGGATTTGGTTTCATGTCTGCCAGATGCTGACTTTCATAGGTGGCATTTTTGTCTGTTCTCCAATTTTACCTTTAGTCTGCTTTCTCTCAAAAATTACACAGTAATGACCCTGACGTTAAGATAAGTCACTGCTAATGTCCAGCCATAATTTATCACTGTGGAATTGCATAGCCTCTCCCATAGTTCTGCTTTCTGAGTTAGGGCCCTGTGATCCATCACATGCCTTTTGGAATGGCTGTCATCCCAAAGAGGCTCTGAAGTAGTTCATCTTTAGCCTGAGTTCTCCTAACTGCTGTGCAAATCTGGACTTGGTAGCTGTAACTCAGACCTGAACATTCATCAGGGTTGCATCCTTTTCTGTTTCTGGCCACAAGATCCTCTTAATCCATCTGATTAAAATGCTCAGTACAGTTGAAAAACAGAGTGAAACTGTCCTTACTTTGAGAAGGAAGATCATTTGTTAAAGAGCATGGTGCTTTGCTTGAATGAGGCTTTGAAAAATCTTAAATGACAAGCCACCTGAGTGAGGGTGAAAGCTTAAACAGTCACTTTTTGACCTGACTTGACTGCAGCTGTATTTTGGCGCTCTGTTTTTTCCCCCCCTTATTCTCAGATGCAGAATGGAGGTGAGTGAAGAATGGTTTGGCTGTCTGAAGCTTAGTATTCTATGCTCATTCAAAACAAGCAGCACAGCAATCAGTTTTACCTCATTTCTGGGATTTTTTGGTGATTCTTAAGGAGCAGTTGGAATTATTACCCCTTTCTTTTCTTAGGAACGAGTAAACCCCTGAAAAAAAGACTTAATTCTTCAGGGATGAGTCTTAATACCTTTAAACCGGTGTTCATTCTCTCCATCTCTTCCTCCCCCACCTCAATTACAAGCAATTGGGTGGTAGTAATTAACAATCTTAGAGAGAAACATCTGCTAGTACACTTAAGCCAGTCAGTTTGTTTTTCATGAAAGAATGGTATTTCACAATTTTTCCAAGTTAATATTTTTCCTTTATTGTCTTTCCAATTTCAAATATTGTCCAGACGCATTTTTATAGTGTCTTAAGGTTATAGAAGTGAATACAAGACCATTAATAATGAACAAGAAAAGAGAACATCATAAAGAAAACATATGCAGCATTTCAATTCATGAAACATTCTGTTAGGGAACATTGTTTTTGAGAGCATATGGTTATTCCCATGAGAAGCAATAAATACACTTTTTTTTTTCCCCTCCAGTTGTGGATTCCCACAACAAGGGTAGGTTTCTCTGTATATTCATCTATATAGAGCGTTCTCTTTGTCAGGACTTGTTATCTGAGTGGGGAGGTAAGTATTTTTGCACAGATGATATATTGTACGTGGACCTATTTCTGATGGCCTAGACTTTGGAAACACAAGTCTATTAATTCTCCACACTCCTTTGAGATAGCAATCTTGTCTGGTCTAGTTTAATATCATTGGCAGAGCTGAAAGGAAGTTCACATTGTGAATATATCTGAACCTTGGCATGCGGCTCACTGGTGGATCTCTGTTTACAGGCTGCCAGTTTTAACTGTCCCAAGCAGACATTCTCATTTTATTTATAAGTAGGTTCAGCATGTGTTTGTATCCTTCATGAAATTGAGTGCATGTCAATAGTCAAAACTAAGTATAGAAACAAGATACCAAACACTTATCCTTCTCTTCTGAGACAAAGCAGGTACTCTGGTATGTATTTTTAAATGGTCATTGGGTTTGGATAGGTCACACGAGGATATATGCACAGACACATTATTTGATCACTCGTAAATATTATTTTAATACCTCCATATTCCCCTTTAAAGTTTCCTCATCTAGATTTCATTTTTCTTTGCTGAATGAAACTTGACATCAGGATGAGATCACCAGATTTCCCCATTTCATCCGAGCTCCAAAATGAGTAACTGATTTCAAAGGATAATTCCCTCGAGCAGCAAGGCCAATGAGTTCTTCAGATCAAAGGTCAGCAAAGCTCAAAGAGGATAATTTCTGGCATACAGTATTTAAACTCTCTAAAGGAGTGTACTGCAAGATGTATCCCCTCCTTCCCCAATAGTTGAACTCTTGTTTTTTGAGAAGACTAATTTGTCAGAGCACATTTTTTCCTTTGTTACATAAATTATACATTAAAGTGAAAGCTTCCTATCTGAACACAGACTGTACATCTAGAAAGGTTATTAAACGTGCCAGTGGAAGGGCTGTTCCTGAAACCAGAAGGTAACTCTGTGCCGTTCCTCTCTGAAGCACCCTGTGGACTGGGGAACTCTGGTGCCTTCTGCACATGCCAGCAGCTTTCAGCACAGTGCATGAGCGCGGTGGTGGAAGGGAGAGAATGCTCTGTAAGACACTTCGTTTTGACAGAAAAACCCAACAAAGAGCTTTGGGGCAGGGCATAGTCACCTTGTGCAGGATCTGCTTCTCAGTGCTCTCATCTCATGTTGTTTGCCATGCCAATGTCATTTGGGATGCTGTCCCTTAACAGGTAAAAGACCACTGTAGAAGTCTTTTGGCCATTATGTACCTTTATACATTTAAAAGTATGTGTGATAACAGGGGTGGATTTTTTTTTTCTTCAATTGGTTGTCCACTGTTCTAATGAAGCTAGGGATCATGCCAGCCCAGCTTTCATTTATTTCACATTCCCTAGAGTGAGATTGTGAGGGATTGCAAAAGCCCCTCATACAAATGTTTCTGTCAGCTTAGTTAGAACTGTTCATGTGAGAAACTGATCACTGGTACACATGAGCCAGTGAAAATCTAGGGGCACATTTAATAGTTATGAAGAACCACTGTCAATATAACTGTCCTTGTTATGAAGGCCCATGTTACCTTTTCATTTCTTGCTGATTTTAGAAGGAAACAAGAAGGCTGGACTAAGGTAGACAACCAAATATTGTCTTTTGGTTTATGGGTGTCTTTTTGTGGCCTTAGCTTTGAACTTCCACGAATATGAAGTTGTATTTATGGACAAAGTGAGTATAAAGCAAATGACCCGTCTTCAGAAATACTTCGAAGTTCTGTATTTTAAGTAATATTTATCTTAATATGTGCCTTCATTATGATAAACACTATACAAAAAGCTCCTAATAAACAGTCCCTGTTTGTCCGGTAACACCAGGTTAAAAGGACAAGGGAAGAAACTGCTGTGAAGTGAGCTTTCTCTTCCTTCAGCTGACCTTCCTGCT